ACTCACGTGTTGCTTCATCTATCGTTTACATGGGGATTCCACTACACAGATGGAGGGCGCACGCCTGGGATGAAGATCACATGTGCGCAAATACATGGCCTCAGCAATTGCGCAGGCATCTCCCGAAGGCCGGGCCCGCCCGCTCAGTATTGCGTCCTTCGTTCTGGTTCCGTGGTTACGACGCTCTTCCGATCTCTATCGTTTACATGGGGATTCCACTACACAGATGGAGGGCGCACGCCTGGGATGAAGATCACATGTGCGCAAATACATGGCCTCAGCAATTGCGCAGGCATCTCCCGAAGGCCGGGCCCGCCCGCTCAGTATTGCGTCCTTCGTTCTGGTTCCGTGGTTCCCTGCACATCGTCTGGAGACCGGGGCCGGGGCCGGGGCCACCGACGATGTTCCCCACTGTTTCTTCCCTCGCAAGGACAGCCGGCTAGTCTGGCCGTTCGCGCACATCGCGGGGGCGAGGGAGAAGGCGGCGTTTCGGGGATCCACGCTGGGCGACCACATAGCTAGATCTCCCCCCCCCCCCTGCGAGCCCCGACGCGCGGGGATTGGGCCTGGTCCCGAAGCGGGCCGGGGGGGCCTTTTCTCGCCCCAGCGCGCCGGCGACCGGCTTCTCCCGGGGCGGGAATGGATCACACATTGTGCCGCCCTTCGCCCCCCCCCCCTGTCTCAGATCTCTCGTCCTTGTGCTGCGCCCTTCTTTCTTTCTTCCCTGTTCTCTCTCTCTCTCTCTCCCCCTCTTTCTCTCCGTCGGCCTCCCCCTCCCCTTCTGCCATGGCCCCCCCCGCCTCCGGCCCGGCATCCCCTGCCGGCGGCCCCGGCGAAACCCTTTCCACCTTGAGTCTGGTCAACAAGCGTGCCCAGGTGGGACAGCTGTCGCTGTTGCGCTGCTTCGATGTCGACCGGTCAGCCGAGGCCACGGCCGCCACTGGCGGCCTTCTGCCTCTCGGAGCGAGTGACGGCTTCCAAACGCCGGCGCCGGCCACGGCCGCCTCGCTGGCCAAGTCCAGCACCACGTCTGGCAGTGGGGGCTTCACGGTCGGGCAGTTGTACCTCCGTCGGGATTTGCTGTGCGGCTTCCACCTGTGCGGGACCTGCTACCAGGTGTCTGCCGCCGGGACCGGCTCCACCGCACGTGTGGTCATCCCCACGGTCCAGGCCATCCAGGCATTCTTCTTCAACTTCTGGTCGGACAACAACAACATGGCCGACCATTACTACGTGTCGCAGACGGCCCTGCGAATTGTGCGTCCTGCCCCCCCCCCC